TTAATCTTACATTGCATCAGAAAGCTGGGCAATGACTAGGGATGACGGAAGGGAAATTGATGTTCTTGAGCTGTGGTGTCGGAGAAGATTATTGAATATATCACAGAGGGCTAGCAGAACAAACAAGTTTGTCCTGCAGAGGGTGAAATCAGGTGGCTCCTTGGAGGCAAGGATTGTGAAGCTTCTAACATACTTGGGCATGTTGCAAGGAGGGATCAGACTTTGAAGAGGGACATCATGCTTGGAAGAGTGGAAGGACAGAAGACCCTCAAGATGGATTGATTCAGTGACTGGAATAATGGGGGTAGGTGTGTCAGAGACAATAAGATCACCATAGGATACAAAAACCCATAGGGTTGCTGTGAATTGCAAGAGACTCAATGGCACATAACAACAACAGTAGGTTTTGAGTTCAGGAAGTGCTATGCCTCCCACTTAGTTTTTGTTTTTCAGAAGTGCTTTGCTTATTCGAAGTCTTTCCTCTCCAAATAAACTTGAAAATTTCCCTTTTGATTTCCTTGAAAAGGAGACAAGCAATAATTTTAGAGAGGACGCGAAGAGGTGGAAACTCTAATACACTAATGGTGGGATTGTAAAATGGTGCAACCGCTCTGGAAGGCAGTTTGGCCTTTCCTCAAAAAGTTGAACGTAGAAACTCCATATGACCCAGTTATTCCACCTAGGATTATACGCCAAGAAAATCAGAACTGAGATACAAAACGGAAATTTGTATACCAATGTTCATAGCAGCGTTATTCACAATCACAAAAATATGGAAACAGTCCAAATAAATTGAGAAATTGTGGTACCTTCACACACTGGAATACTTATGCAGCACTCAGGAGCAAAGATTTTGAAGAACACTATGTAACTTGGGAGAGGCTAGAAAGCATTAAGCTGAGTGAACTAACATATTTCCATCAGGACAAATACTGCATAAGACCATTATTGTAAAAAATAGAAGGATAATCAGTAAAACGCATACAAGAACTCAAGGGGAGATAGAGGTGCGTAGGGGTGAGGATAGGTAGGTGTGATACCACAGGGTTGCACAGGTTTGTGGGTGGAGGGAGGGGGAAGCAAATGGGAAGGATTTGGGTGAAAAGAAAGGGTAATGATGGCAAGGTCCAATGGTGATAATTTTATGAAACAATGAATAAGAATAATTGTATGAAACACAATATGGATGAAAACCAGTGTGATACAAAATGTAAATAAACTTTGTAAGCAAACCAATAAAAAATGTAAAAAAAAAGAATACAGCCTTCAATATGGATTGCATTTTACCGTCAAGAAAACAAAAATCCTCACTATTGGACTGATAGGCAACATCACAATGGACAAAGGACTGAGATTATCAATGACTTCATCTTGCTTGGATCCACAGTCAGTACACTTGATACCAGCAATCAGGAGTTCAGGAGATGTATTACACTGGGAAAGTGTGCATGCAGGGACCTATCCAAATTATTGAGGAGTGATAATGTCAGTTATTACTGGTGTTCTGGTGGCCTAGGGAAAGAAGCTGTGCTGCAATCCCTAAGGCATGAAGTTTGAGGCCACAAGATGCTCTGTGGGAGAAAGATGGGCAATCTCCTCCTGTGTGATTAACAGCCTCTGAAAACCTGCCAGAGAATCTGACTGGATTGTACACAACAACAATGTCAGTTTGAGGACTAAGATGTACTGATTCAGTCTATGGTTTCTTCAGTAACTTTATACGCATCTGAGAGCTGGACAATGACTAAGGATGGCAGAGGAATAATTAAAGTGTGTGTATAATTAATTAATTTTTTTACTTTTTTAAAAAGTTTTAAATTTATTAATTTCAATAAAAATTTACAGAGACTTTGGATTTCCATTCATTCATTGTTGCACTTTTCTCCCCCCTAGTACACTACCCTCCTGGAAAAGTAAAAGAAAAATTCTTTCATTGTTTTACAATCCCTCCCCCCAGGTCCATTAATTTATTTAATTGTAATAATTATGTTATTATTAATTGGTTTTGCTAGAGAAAAGTACTGAATATCCCATGGAGTGCCAAAGAACAAACTGATATGTCTTGGAGAAGGTGCAGCCAGAGTGCTTCTTGGAGGCAAGGATAATGAAGCTTCATCTCACATACCTTGGGCATGTTGCTAGGAGAGGTTATTCCTCAGAGACATCATACATGCGAAGGTGGAGGGTTGGCAAAGAGAGGAAGACCCTAAATTAGGTTTTCAATACAGTGACTGTGGCAATGGACTTGAGTGTGTCAGATATTATGAGGATGGCACAGGATAGGACAAGGTTCAGAACTGTTGTTCATACGGTCACTATGAGTTGTAGTCAATTTGACCACACTTAACAACAACAACAATATGTTTGAGATGTGTTTTGAACTAATGTCTTCTAATATATAAAAGAACAGATTTAAGCAAGCAAGCAAAAATGGAAGGGAAAACATTTTTTTTCTTTTTAAAGTCAAACTCATTGTTGTTGAGTTAATTAAAGCCATAGCAACCAGAGTAGAACCACCCCATGGAGTTTCCAAGGCTGTAAATCTTTGCAGAATTAAACTACCTCATTTCTCTACTGTGAAGTACCTTTCGATTACCAGTAGGGTGGTTAATACACTATACCACCAAGACTCCTAAGAAGGAGACACATGCTACATAATTGCGAAGAAAGCTAGGAAAAAGAAGTTGAAAATATTTAAGAACTTTCCTCCAAAGTGGTTAGAGAGAGAAAGTGACAGAGCCTTCATCTAGAGTCAGCATCCTGAATTTATATTTCTAATACCTACATTGTGGGAAAATAAATTCCTATTTACTAAAGTAAAAAAAAAACAAAACTTTTTCCAACAGGGTGAAAAGAAAACCTACAGACTGGGAACAAACAGTTGGTAATACCATCTCAGAAAAGAATCTTATAACAAAAGTTTACAGAATACTTCTGGGCCTCCACAAGAGAAAAAACTGATAACCCAATTACAAAATGGTAAAAATTTTCACAGAGGAAGATATTCGAATGACAAACAGACACATGAAGAAATGCTCCAAATCACTGACAATAAGAGAGATACAAATCAAACCCACAATAAGGTACCATCTCAATCCAGTTAAGAGTGGTAAAATTTAACAGGACAGCAAGTAATAGATGTTGGAGAAGATGTGGTGAGAAAGGAATTCTTATACAGTGTTGGTGGGATTATAAAACGGTGTAACCATTCTGGAAGGCAGTTTGGCGCTCCCTCAAAAAGCTGAACATAGAAATTCCAAATGACCCAGCTATTCCATTACTTGGAATATACCCTGAGAATACGAGAACTGAGGCACAAACAAATTTGTACGCTAATGTTCGTATCAGCATTATTCACCATAGTAAGAACATGGAAACAGCCCAAATGTCCAACCACAAATGAATGAATTGAGAACTTGTAGTACATTCACACAATGGAATACTATGCAGCATGTAGCCAGGGTAACTCATCTTTGGAGAAAGATAACATATTCAGAAGGGTAGAGGAACGGCATAGAAGAGGAAGACCCTGACTGAGATTAATTGACCCAGTAACTGGGGTAAAAGGGTTACACGTGTCAGGTCAGTGAGACTGCCTCAGGATAGGGCAGAATTCAGAATTTTTGTACATAGAGTCACTATGAGTTGCAAATGACTCGGCAGCACATGCAACTGATCTGTGGTGTTTATATTGTAACCTGTGACCCTGTTAAACTCATTTTCTAGTTCTAGTTTATATAAATCTGAAAAAACCCATTTGTGTGTGTAAGTGTGTGTGAAATAAGCAGAAAATATTCTGGTATTATAAAATATCAGGTGATGGATAAAATAGAAAAAAAGAAACAACACCTAAAGAATCATATTTTACTGGGGAAAGGGGATAGATAATATGAAAGGAATGAGATTACACATTTCATGCATGAGATCATTGGGAAACACTTCAAAAGAAAGTATTACTTCAGTATAGAATAAAAAACACTTTAAAATTGCATAGAAAATTTTACAATAAAGGGAAGTATACATTTTTCACTATGATATTAAAACAAACCCTCAATCAGATAAATGAATAAACAAAACCCACTGTTGTCAAATCCACTCATACTCATAGTAATCCTATAAGATGGAGTAGAACTTTCCTTTAGGGATTCCAAGCCAGACTGCTTCAACTTTTTCCCTTTGGTTTGTTGTTGTTGTTGTTATGTGCCGTCGAGTCGTTTGCGACTCATAGCGACCCTACATATAACAGCCCTAAACCCTCCTCTATCCTATGCCAATCTCATTGCCTCTGACACACCCATCCCGAGTACCCCAGTCACTGAATCAATCCACCTCATAGAGGGTCTTCCCCTCCTGCGCTGTCCCTCTACTCTACCCAGCATGATATCCCTCTCTAAAGACCTGTCTCTCCTTACAACATGTCCAAAGTATGTCAGACGAAACCCCAGAATCCTTGCGTCCAAGGAGCAGCCTGGTTTAATCCTCTCTACGATGAATTTGTTTGTTTGCTTGGCAGTCCATGGTACATTCAATACTCTTCTCCAGCACCCACAAAGAATTTAATTCACTGTGCTACTAGAATCCTGGTCAAATGGCTACTTCATATCAAAGTTAATCTCTTAAATAAGTAATTTAGTTTTGTTATAGTCCTTTTACCTACTCACATTCTTCAGTCAAGTTGAAATAGCACCACTTTGATTTTTCTAATTCAAACATTTGTACTATTTAAATTTTAGTGACCTTCACATTTTAATTAAAACATGAACAGTTCCTTAAAAATCCAATCAATGGCACATTTAATTGAAGAGTATTTTTAGGTTCTTTTAAGAAAAAATCCTGGATATTTGAGGTTCCAATTACTTTAAGTACCAAAATTTTGTAAAATTGTTTAAATTAAATTTTCAGAATATTATAACCTATTGGTCAGAGAAAATAAAGCACATCCCTTTGACACAATTTGAATACTGCTCAAATTGTTAGTATGAGATATGAAGATAACATACCCCACTATAGGGACTTCTATTACTTTCTTTCCTATGAAAATAAGTAGTCTATCAGAAATATCTTCATTTTTATCAGGGCGAAATTCCACTGTTGCCGTCACTTGAAGTCCTGAAGCAAGTAATTTATCAAAACGACTGTCGAAAAGCAGTTTAAACTGCAGAGGGAGAAAACCAAAGCATAAATTAAGAAACAAACATGAAATTGTACATTTTCATTCCTTATAAGGAATGAAGGTGAATAATTATAGTTAAGAGTAGTTATTATTACAAGAGATATCTCAAAACATAGGCCTTGCTTTTGCTCTAAAGACAAAAATTCATTGACCATATGTACACTTACCAGATTTTATATTCTTAAGACATCTTTAAACACAGTAATTGCAACTTACAATTCAGCTAGAATAAAACATGAATGCTGCTACAACGGCACCTGGTTCAAATCCACCAGCTGTTCCATGAGCAAGGATGGACAATCTCCTCCCATGATTTGGCTCCGACTCAACAACATACAACAACAACAGCAACATGAGCTTAACCAATATACATACATATATATGTATACTGTCTTTATGGAAAAAAGGTTGCATAACTTGTGAGAAATAGACCAAATAGGAAAAACTACGTATGTTCTAGTAAAACTTGTGTTTGACTTTAGGAGAAATAAAGAAGAACTAATATCTGTTGAACTCTTCAATATACCCAGAATTCCGTGTCTACTATCTCACTTAACACCCTTTTACAAATCTGCAAGGCAGATATTAGGTCTCCCGGAATGTAATTGAGGAATGAAAATGAGAGCTCTGGAGTATATTGTCAGGCAGTTTAAAATACAATTGGATCTGGTTCTAAAATATAAGCCCTTTCCACCTAAAAGAGAAAGGTACTACTTCTCAAAAATCATATATCCTTTCATATGAAACAAGTTATGTACTTCTTGAAAAATACCATTGGCACTACTCTAATCATGTGCCACATGAGTGATTCAGACGTAAGTATAAGAAAATATTGTGAAAGGACGTGATTATTGTTGGCCAATGAAAGGAATGTACTTGATCTAATCTTAAAGGATGAATGTATGAAACATAGAGAAGTTGATCTCTATGAGGGCAAGGAGAGCTAAGACAGAAACAGAAACAAGGTAAATAAACCAAAGCACTCTCCATTGCTTGTGAGAAGATGGGACTGAGACATCCTTCAGGTCATAGGTCCCTCCATCTGGGATTCCTTGCCTTTGCAACTGTGGGACCATCCCAGGGACCAAACAGTACAAGCTATTTTAGTATACAAAACTTCAAGCAGAAGAAAGAATTTTCATAGGAGAGACCCCCTACATGTAAGCTGCTTCAGCTGGCAGCCCTGATCTCTAATCTGGCGCCACTCCTGAGACAAAGGAAGGCATTAAGCTCCAGGAGAAAAGATGCATGAGAAACTTCTTGAGTGGAGCACCTGGTCTCACACCACTCAGCCATAGAGTTCTGTCAGGGGACTATATCAAGGTAAGATTTCTACAGATTTGCAGTGTAGACTAGAGAGAATCACAGGACTTTAGGAAAGACAAATTTTCCCTGAAAGAACTTAGAGTAGAGTGAGTAGCTCACCCCTTAGGCTGAACATTTTAACTTGGCAACTAATTATTAACATTATAAAGGCAAAACCCAACAACAACTTTCACAGACACAATAGAAACGACCTAACATTTATCAAGAAAAACTTCATAATGTCAAGAAAGCAGCAGGCAGCTTCAAAGACATGAAAAAAAGCAACTAAGCCTTCTAAAAAAAAAAGCCGAGAATATTAGAGACCTCATGAATACTCCAGAGTCAGGAAGGCAGATGATATATGTTGATATGGAGATACTTGAACAGCTAAGAATTAAAGTAGAAATGATTTAAAAAAAAAAAAAAAAACAACAATGGAAGCCACAAATAAAAGGGAGAACTTAGAGGTAGAGAACCAGAAAAAAATATATTGATGAAGAGTTATATGAACAGTTACAGAAGACGGTGCAAATGATGGAAGAAACAGTGGAAACCACTAAGAAAGAAAACTCTCCAGAGACACAAAGCCAGAATAAATATATTGATGAGGAGGAACTTGCACACATACAAAAGAAAATGCAAAAAAAAGGAAGAAAGAATTGAAACTATAGATAAAGGGGTTGTTTGTTGTTGTTGTTGTTATGTGCCATCGAGTCATTTGCGACTCATACCGACCCTATGTACAAGAGCCCTAAACCCTCCTCTATCCTGTGCCAATCGCATTGCCTCTGACACACCCATCCTGATTACCCCAGTCACTGAATCAATCCACCTCTAGAGGGTCTTCCCCTCCTGCGCTGTCTCTCCACTCTACCCAGCATGATGTCCCTCTCCAAAGACCTGTCTCTCCTTGCAACATGTCTAAAGTATGTCAGACGAAGCCCCAGCATCTTTGCCTTCAAGGAGTAACCTGGTTTAACCCTCTCTAGGATGAATCTGTTTGTTTTCCTAGCAGTCCATGGTATTCTCAATACTCTTCTCCAGCACCACAGCTCAAAGGCATTAATTCTCCTTCTATCCTCCCTAGTCATTGTCCATCTCTCTGATGCATAACAAGTGACTGCAAAGACCATGGCCTCTTTCAGGCACACCTTAGTCTCCAGAGACACACCGTTGCTCTTGAGTACTTTCGAGAGGTCCCTAACAGCAGACTTTCCCATCGCAATAACTTAAAAAATCATCACAAGATACAGAGGTGAGTACTGCCAACACATTACTGGAAATAGCAGAAAGGCATGAAAAATATAATCCAGGATATCAATATTGAAATGCAGAAGTGTCCAACAAGCTTGAAGAACAAAAAATTAGAACAGAGGAGATGGAGCAGAGAGTCTGGAAAAGAAGAACCTAAGTGGAAAAATACTAGAAGAAAAATCAGAGATGAGACATTAAGAAAACAATAGAATCATGTGGGATGACATTAAAAGGAATAACATACGTATGACTGGAATTTCAGAATATGAGAGGGAGAAGAAAATCACTAAGAAAATTGTGGAGGAAGTACTACTAGAAAACTTCCCAGGTACTAGGAAGAATGAGGACATCCACATTCAGGAAGCTCAGCAAATACCAAATAGATTAGACGGAGAAAGGAAAACATCAAGACATATCATAGTCAAATTCTCCAAAATAAAAGATAGCGATACAATACTGAAAAAAGCATGAGAAAAACAGTCACCTAAAAAGGAAAAGCAATTAGACTAAATTATGTTTTTTTAGAACAAACCATGAGAGCAAGAAGACAAGGGGATGGCATATACAGAAAGTTAAAAGAAAAACAATTGCCAACTGAGGATCTTATACCGAGCAAAGCTGTCCATTAAATATGAAGGAGAAATCACATCCTTTGCAGAAAAGAAATAACTTAAGGAATTTATAAAAACAAGACCAAATCCACAGGAACTTTTAAGGGAAGTCCTTAACACAGAGACACCAAAGGAAAGTGGGTGGACCATAGTAAAAAAACCACCAAGAAAAGAAACCCAGCAAAATGGGAACGATAAAATCTGTCCCATCAATAATCACACTTAATGTGAATGGCCTAAGTGCACCAATCAAGAGGAAAAGAGTAGTATTATGGCTAAAAATACAAAGCCCATCAATATTGTATTTATAAGAGATACATCTAAGAAATGAAGAGAAAAACAAACTGAAAATCAAAGACTGGGGAAAAAATATATGAAGCAAAAGGCAACCACAAAAAATCAGGAGTGGCAATACTAATCTCTGATAGGAATGGCATATATAATGATTGAAAGCACAGTAGATCAAGAAGGCATAACATTCACTATCTGTACTCCAAATGATAGACCTGCAATATACATAAAACAACTGTTAACAGAATTGAAGAAAGAAATAGCACGGTAATAGTGGTAGGAGACTTTAACATGCCACTTTGCCAAAGGATAGGTCATCTCAAAAGAAACTTAAAAAAGATATAGAAGACCTAAACTACACAGTTAACTAACTCAAACTTGTGGATGTATTCCGAGTACTGCATCCAACTAAAACTCAATTCACTTTCTTCCCAAGTGTGCATGGTATATTCGCCAGATTGATTACATATTAGGGCACATAGCAAGCTTCAACAAATTAAAAATCATTGAAATAATACAAAGTATCTTCTCAGACCACAATGCCATAAAACTAGAAAGTAACCACAGGAGGATAAAGCTTATAAGGCCACCAACATGGAAGCCAAATAACACTCTGCTAGAACATGATCTTGGAAGCAGGAGTGACATCTACTTCCTAAGTAACATGCCTTCAGAAACTCTATGAACTTTGATAAATGTTGATAGTTATAGAGGGGCTTCAGGTCTTTTGTTCATAGGGTCACTATGAGTCTTGCTGGACTTGAAGACAATCAACAACAACAATAGCACATGATCGGATTATAAAAGAAATGAAGGATGAAATTAAAAAGTTCCTCAAAACATTGAAAATACAACTTTGAGATTTTGAAAATACAATGTACCAAAACCTCTGGGATGCAGCTAAGACACTCCTCAGGGAAAAGTTCTTATCAAAAGGCAAACACATAAAAAATGAAGAGAGAAGCAAAATCAATTATTTAACTAAATATTTACATCAAATAGAAAATGAACAACAATCTAACCCAACAGCCTCTAGAAGAAAAGAAATTATAAGAATAAGAGCAGAAATCAATCAGATAGAACACAGAACAAATTGAAACCATCAATAAAACCAGGAGCTGGTTTTTCAAAAGGGTCAATAAATTGACAAACCATTGGCAAACTTAACAAAAAAAGGAGAAAACACAAATAACTCAATTAAGAAATGATAGAGGTGACATCACAACAGAACCAGAAGAAATTATATCTATAATATCTGGAATATTATGAATAGCTACACAAATTCCCTACCCTGATTGACACTGTCAGATGTAGAACACTTGAATAGACCCATCACAAAAGAATACATTGAGCAGGTCATAAAAAGATTACCACACAAAAATTGTTCTGTACCAGATAGCTTTACAGCTGAAGTCTACCGAACATTCAGAGATTTATCACCAATTCTATTTAAGTTATTTTAAAAAATAGAAAAAGATGGAGCACTCTCAAAGATATTCTATGAAGCAAGCATAACTCTAATAACAAAACTTGGCAAACATAACTACCAAAAAACAAAATTACAGACCAATATCTCTCATGATCATAGATGCAAAAATCCTTAACAAAACCCTAGTAAATAGAATTGAAAAGCACATAAAAAAACTAACTCATCATGACCAAGTGGGATTTATAAGAGGTGTGCAAGGATGATTCACCATAAGAAAAACAGTCAACAAAAATGACAACATTAACAAAGCAAATAACAAGAACCATATGATCCTAGCAATTGATGCAGGAAAGACATTTGACAAACTTCAAAACCCGTTCCTGATTAAGATACTCAGCAAAATTGAAATGGAAGGGTATTTCCTCAACATAGTGAAAAGTATATATGCAAAACCATGAGCCAATATCATTATCAGTAGAAAAAGACTAAAAGCATTTTCTTTGCAAACAGGGACCAGACAAGGATGCCTACTATAGCCACTTCTACTCAATATTGTATAGGAAGTATTTGCTAGGGCAATATGACAAGAGAAGGAAATAAAAGACATCCATATAGGCAAAGAGGTGGCTAAACTTTTGCTAAATGCAGGTTACATGATAGTCTACACAGAAAACCCCAAGGAATGGACAAAAAACTTGTTAGCACTAGTAGACCAATTTAGTAGAGTGGCAAGATACAAGATCAATATACAAAAATCAGTGGGAATTCCTCTATAGTAGCAAAGAGAACTTATAGAAGGAAACCAAGAAAGCAATACCATTTACAATAGCCAAACACAAATCGAGATACTTGGGAATGAACCTAACTAGAGACAGAAAAGACCTGTACAAAGAAAAGTATATAACATTTCTGTGAGACACAATAAAAGACTGAAAGAAATGGAAAAAAATATTCCCTGTTCATGGATAGGAATATTTAATATTGTGAAAATTATAATCTTACCAAAAGCAATGTTCAGCACAATCCCAATACAGATACCAAATGCATATCTCAAGGAGATTGAAAGAGATATCAAGTTTATTGGGAGAGGAAATAAGCAAAGCACTTGTGAAAAACAAAAATGTAGTGGGAGGCATATTGCTCCTTGACCTCAAAACCTACTACACAGTGGTAGTAACCAAAAGAGCTTGGTACTGGTACAATGACAGGCAAATAGATCAATGGGATATAATTGAGAACCCAGAAATGGACCTAACTAACTACAGTCAACTGATACTCAACCAGGAAATAAAAAGCATCAAATGAGAAAATGACAACTTTTTCAACAAATGGTACTGGCAAAACTGGACTGCTACTGGCAGAAACCTGAAACAGGATTCACATCTCACACCATACACAAAAATCAACTCAAGGTGGCTTAGAGACCTGGAAGTAAAGCCCGAAACTATAAAGTTCATCAGAGGCAAACTGGGATCAAGGCCTAGTCTATGATATAGACTGCCAAATACAGCCAGAAATGCTCAATCTGGAGAAAATAAAATTAATTAATGGGACCTTCTAAAGATTAACTCTCCAAGTACACCAAAAACGTTTTCCAACAACAGGATGAAAGAAAACTTACCTACTGGGAGGAAATATTTTGCAATACCATTTCATTCAGTCTCATAACAAAAAATTATAGAGTACTCCTGGACCTCCACAAGAAAGAAAAAAAACAAACACAAACGACAAGACCCTGATAATCCAATTGTAAAATTGGCAAGGGATGTGGAAGGACTTTTCAAAGAGGAGGACATTCAGATGGCCAACAGACATATGAAGAAATGTTCAAAATCACTGGTACTAAGAGATACAAATCAAAACTACAATGAGATACCATCTCGCAAAGTTTAACAGTACAGCAAGTAATAAATGTTGGAGAGGATGTGAAGAGATAGGAACTCTTTATACACTGTTGGTGGGGTAGTAAAATGGTACAACCACTCTAGAAGACAGTTTGGTGCTTCTTCACAAAGTTAAACATAGAAACTCCATATGACCCAGCTATTCCATTGCTTAAAATATACTCAGAGAAAATAAGAACTGAAGCACAGAGACTTTTACACAAATGTTCAAAGCAGCGTTATTCACTACAGCAAGAAGATGGAAACAGCCCTAATGTCCAATTACAATGGAACAGATTGAAAAATTATGGTACATTCGCACAATTAAATACTATGAAGCACTCAGAAACAATGATTTTGTAAATTACTACCTAATTTGGGAGGGACTGGAAAGCATTATGCTAAGTGAACTAACTCAATCTCATAAAGGCAAATACTGTATAAGACCACTATTGTAGAATGAGTATGAGGATCCAAGGAGGGGAGGGGAGGAGTAGAGGGGTAAGAATGGACTGGAGTGACGTGGGGGAGAGGGGCTTAATCATAGGGGTACACCCTATATGAAAAACAATGTATATGAACGTTGTGAGTAAACCAGTATAAAATAAAAAAAGAATAAATAATTCTCTCAGCAAATAAAAAGTGAGAGTCATTGCTATAGAGTCAGAACCAACTCATTCTTGATCCTGCAATGTTTTTTTAACTGGCAGAAAGGTGTCACTTTTGAGTCAGCAGCTCAATTCCTTAAGGACTATACCACCAGAGCACCAGAGCTCTATCAGCAAACAGCTCATAAACCAACTGTGCTGGGCAAAGAGTTCCTTTTTTTTCTGGTTGTACACTATTGAATCTGATATGACTGGCACAGGAAGATATTGCCCCTCTTTCTCAAGCGGAGCATCTGGTGGATTTGAACCATATGCCTTCAGGATTGCATTGCAGCTTCTTGCCACTAGGCCACAAAAGCTCCTTTGGGCAACGAGTCCTTGATTAGTAACAATGGTAGTCATGCTGGAATGAATTACCCATAGCCAAGAATTAGTGACCTATTTATATATACTGAAGACTCTACTGCCAACCCAAAGGTCATGCCTCTCTAGTGGTTCAAATCCATCACTGACTCTGAGGGAGAAAGACTCTCTCCTCCTATTGGCCTCAGTAAGCCAATGGAGGATCAACTGTGACCAGATTCTATGGCAATGTGAAGGGGTTTTTTTGTTTGTTTGTTTTATATAAAACTCAAAAGTAAGAAACACTAACAAAAATCAGAATAAAGCTCACCTTTGGGACTGATCACTGTGCATACTTTATATGAAAGGGACATTAGGGAACCGTCTGAAGTACATAAAGATCTTATACTGTTTAAAATAGCCATAATGACTGCAGTAATGGGCATGATGGTGTAGAATAGTGTAAAGTTTCTGTTACTCGGATAATGATGAGTCATAATCAATTCAATGGCATTTATCAAAAATAGCAACAATATATCATGAAGTCAAGATGCAAAGATTTCTGTGATTTCAAAGTCACAGAGTTCTTTCCCCCTTTTTTTTTCAAATCTTAGATGAAAAAAAGAAAGTGTTAACTCATCTTTCCTTGTCCTCTCCTCCTCCTCCCCCACTTGCAATCTCCCAGCCTGAGAACAGGAACAAAACGTCAACTCGGAATTAAAACAAACCAAACCAAAAGACCCACGCAAGTGCTCGTGCGTGCGTGCACACACACACACACACACACACACACACACACACACACACACACACACACACACGAGTTAACAAAAATCAGCACTTGCATGCCCTGGAAAGTTCAATTCCCCCCTAATAATGGGCCGAAAAAAAGCCCCCCCCCCCCCCGGTGGATAGGCTTTCTCAGAGCCCCTGCCCGCACTAGCACCCTTTGGCGTGTCACCTGTGGATTGAAAGGCTCCTGAAAGCGTATCTTCTGGTTCCAGCAACCTTGGTTGTGTATAGTAATTGGGAGGCGGTACACTTTCCCCACCAATGCGTCCACAAACCTCAACTCTGATGGGAACACCTCCATTTGCACTTCCTTCCTAGGTTTTTCTGTCTCTTGGGGGACCAAGGGTCCCTTCAGCGTAAAATCCAATGATCCTCTCTTTCGGTTAATTAAAGGTCCCCTCTCCCCAGCTACCAAAGATCCCCTACGTCCAGGGACCAAAGACAATCTCTGTAAGGGAAACAATGCTCTTTCGCGTATTAATGAGGATAACCTCCTCTCCCTAGTCATTGGAGGTTTCCTGTCCCTATTGCTCTCAGTCTCCCTCTCCTTCTCCTGGGGTGCTGAGGATTCTTTCTCATCAAGGTCCAAAGTGACCCTTTTGGGCGGATCTCCCTTCTTATTGTCCATGCTGGCGCTCTAGGTCACCACCATTTGAGGAACAAGTCCAGGTCCAATGTGAGCCTCTGTCGCTAGGCAACCATCTGACGCTGCACACTGGCCTCTGTCTAAAGTTCTACCAGCTTCAGCTCTGTGTCAACCTGAGTGTAGGCTTAAGTAGTCTGGGAAAGAACTCCAGAGATGCAGCCTTTATCAGAGTAGAGCAGCCCAAAGCCATAAGGCAAGATTTTTAAATAGGTATCATGATTTACGTGAAGGTTTACAGAGTATATGGCTTTTCAATCATTCATACACACTTTGTCCCATAACATTAATTAAAATACTCACAACTTCATGCCATGTTTTCCTTCACTTATCTAAATTATAAGTATTAAATATCTATTTATAAACTTTCTACACCTCTCTCCCTCCTTACAGTTCCTTGTAGCCATTTTAGAATGATTCCATATTTATGTGACGCTTTGAGATTTTTTTAAGAGATAGTGCTTTTATTAAATATTTATCCTATTTGTGACTGACTTATTTCACTAAGTGCTATGTCCTATAGATTACTCTGGGGTTTCAAGAATTTCTCATTGTTTGTCAATGTTGGATTGTGTAAGTGTACCGTACTTTCTTTATCCACTTCTTTGATATTGTGAAAAGTGCTGTAGTAGAAATGAGCATATATATTTGATCAAGTTACAGCTCTTATTTGTTTGGGATGTGCGATTAATAGTAGGATTCCTGGATCAAGTGGTATTTCCACTTTTAACTTTTTTTTAAGGAAATAAAAAATTGCTTTCCATAGTGGTTGTACCATTTTACATTCCTACAAGCAGTGTATGAGAATTTCAATCTTTTCACATCCTTATCAGCATTTTATGTTTCCTGTTTTCTTGAATTTTACTTTTGTTGCTGGGATAAGATAATATGTCATACATATCATCCTGATTCATATATTTCTAAAATATTTTGGCATGATCTATTTTAACTGTCATTTGTCTCAAGATATTTTTAAATTTTTTGTTTCTTACATTAGCCAGTAGAGTTCAAGCAGGGTATTACTTAGTTTGCAAGTACAAATTTTTCCCTTGATTTTCCTGTTGTTGATTTCTAATTTAACATCACTGCAATCTGAGAATATTATTTGTAGTATTCTACACTTTTTAGTCAATTTAAAGAATAATATATGCCAGATATGTCTGATCCCAACTATATTTGCAATTGCTTTCTATGTATCTGAAAGTAGAAAATTCAAGGAAGGTCCTCCTTAGAGGTAAGAATAATGAAACTTTAACTCACTTACTTTGGCCATGTTTTTAGGAGAGGCTCATCCTAGGAAAAAGACATGTTAGGAAGGTGGAGCATCATGTATTTCTGGATTGGAAATGATGATATTGTTAATATTTCTAGCCTTAAGCTTAAAAGATTATAATGTTCAAAATTATTTGTTATACATTTTTTTAAATTTTTCCCTCTTCTAACAACTGGGATCTAGAGGGAAGTGAAAAGACCAGAGAATGTCCAAAATTATTGGGGCAGCTCTTGTTGCCAGTTTAGGGCCTGTGTCAGGAAAAGAAAGTCTTACTCATATACAGTGCCACCCAAAGGTAATAAAGCAGGTCAGAATTGCTTCCACTGTGGAAAGCTGGGCCACTTCAGTAGACAGTGTCACAGATGAGAGCCACAGATAGGCAAGGAAGTAGAGAGGAAGCTCCCACTCACTCGCTTTAAGTGTGGCTTTGAAGGACGCTTGGCCAAGGTGGCCCACATCAGGTCCTCGTGGCAGACAGGACTGACAGGCCCCAGCTCCCAGCTGGAAACAAAGGAGGATGCTTCAACTATTTATATCCTCCCAGAAGAGCTGTGGGTGAGCATTAACATTACTGCTAAGTATATTCGTTTTCTCCTGGACACAAGAGCCTACTATTTGGTCCTAAAAGCCTTCTGAGGTCCCAATTCTTCTCACTATTTCTTAGTTGTTGGAATTGACAGAAAACCTCATAAGCAGTTCCTTACTTCACCTCTGCCTTGCATGCGGACTTCCTAGTTGTAAAACAACCCAGTGGTAGATGGAATTTGCTCCAGGACTTAAGACAATAAATGACATAGTTGAGCCTCTACATCTTATGTAACCTTCATACTATAATAGACAAAGTGCTAGTCAGTAGGCCTTTTATTGTAAGGACTACCTTCCCTTCATCTGTTTTAATGCATTATTTATCCCTTCTTTTTCAGTCTCCACCCAACCGCGATGTCAGTCTGCTTTTAAAGCAGTGGCACTACGCAGTATTTGTGCTTTTGTGACTGAGATATATCACTCAGCATGATGTCCTCCAGAGCCATCCGTTTTGTATAATATTTCATGAGTTCCTTGTTTTTCAATGCACCATAATATTCCATTGTGTAAATATACTAGAGCTTCTCTATCCATTGCTTTGTTGATCGACACTTGGATTGTTTCCAACTCTTTGCTATTGTGAATGAAGCTGCAAAAACATGGGTGACAGTTATGGTTTCTTTAGGGTATATTCCCAGTAGTGGCATTGCTGGATCAAATGGTATTTCTATTTGTAGCTTCTTTAGAAAGCTCCATACAGCCTTCCATTGTGATTGCACCATTTTACACTCCCACCAACAGTGAATAAGGGTTCAAGTTTCTCCACAACCTCTCCAGCATTTGTTGTTTGTTGTTCTGTTAAATTTTGCTATTCTTACTGGAGTGAGATGATATCTCATAGTTGTTTTGATCTGCATCCCTCTTAGAGCTAGGAATTTTGAACATTTCTTCATGTGTTTCTTGGCCTTCTGAACGTCTTCTGTGGTGAAGAGTCTGTTCATATCCTGTGCCCATTTATCAATAGGGTTATTTACCTTTATCTTGTTGTAATGCTCAAGTATTTCATAAATTCTAGATATAAGTACCTTATCTGGCATGTCATTACCACATACTTTTTGCCAGTCTGTGGATTTCCTTTTTACCCTGTCGGGGAAGTTTTTTGGATGTGCATAGAGATTTGATTCTTAGAAGGTCCCATTCATCTATTTTATCCTCTCCTGGTTGAAGATTTTTGAGGAGGCTTGGAAGACTGTTTATGTTGTGGCGTAGGACTTTTAAAGTTCTTCCAAGCTTTTCTTTAATGAAGTTTATAGTCCTTGGTTTTAGTCTTAGGTCCATGATCTACTTTGAGTTGTTTTTTTGCGTATAGAGTGAGCTGTGGCTCTTGCTTGAGTTTTCTGCAGATAGTTTTCCAATTTTGTCAGTGCCATTTATTTTAAAAGGCTGTCATTTCCCCACTTAACTGATTTCATCTCCTTGTCAAAAATCAGTTGACTGTAGGTAGATAAGGCTGATTTCTGGATTCTCAATTCCGTTCCATTGATTTTTGAGTCTGTCATTGTTCCAGTATCACATTGTCTTGACCACCAAAGCAGTGTAGTAGGATTTAGAATCAGGGAGTGAGATGCCTCCTACCTTGTTTCTCTTTTTAAGGAGTGCTTTGCTTATTTGGGGCCTCTTTCCATTCTAAATGAAATTGGTGATTGCCTTTTCCATATTGTTGAAGAATGTAATTGGTATTTGTATTGGATTGCTTTGAAAGTGCAAATTGCCTTTGGTAGTATTGTAATTTTCACAGTATTGAGTCTTCCTATCCATGAGCAAGGAGTATTCTTCCACTTCTCCAGATCTCTTTTGGTTTCTTGAAGTAATGTTTTGTAATTTTCTTTGACTAGATCCTTTATGCTTCTTCTTAGATTTATTCCCAAGTATTTAATCTTGTGATTAGCTATTGTGAAGGGTATTGTTTTTCTTAGCTCCAGTTCTGTATTCTCTTTGTCACTGTAGAGAAATCCAACTGATTTTTGTATGTTTATCTTGTTTCCTGCCACTTTGCTGAATTGGTCAACTACGTCCCATAGTTTTCTTGCTAAGTCTTTAGGGCTTCTAAGTATACTATCATATCATCTGCATAGAGAGATAATTTTACCTCCTCTTTACCAATTTGGATACCTCTTATTTCTTTCTCTTGTCTTATTGTTAACCCTAAGACAATAGTACAATATTGAATAGGAAAGGTGATGGTGGGCATCCTTGTCTAGTTCCTTTTCTCAAGGGGAATGCCTTTAATCTCTATCCATTGAGAACAATGTTAGCTCTTGGGTTTTCATATATACTTTTTACTATGTTGAAGAAATTCCCCTCTAATCCTATTTTGTTGAGTTTTTAATCAAGAAAGGGTATTGGATTTTGTCAAAGGTCTTTTATACATCAACTGATAGGATCATGTGGTTCTTGTTCTTTGCTTTGTTAATGTGATGAATTACATTGATTGCTTTTCTTATGCTGAACCATCCTTGCAGATTTGTTATAAATCCCACTTGGTCATGGTGAATTTTTTTTATGTATCTTTGGATTTTTTTGGCCAATATTTTATTCAGGATTTTTGCATCAATGTTCTTGAGAGATATTGGCCTACAATTTTCTATTTTGGTGGGGTCTATACCTGGCTTAGGTATCAAGGATATGTTTGCTTCATAGAATGAGTCTGGGAGAATTCCATATTTTTCTATTTTTTGGAATAGTTTATGTAGAATTTGGTGACAGGTCTTCTCCAAATGTTAGATAAAATTCACTTGTAAAACCATCTGGTCCAGGACTTTTTTTGGTTGGAAGTTCTCAATTTCTACTTTTGTAATGGATCTGTTCAGGTGTTCCATTTTGGTTTGTGTCAGTTTAGGTAGGTTGTGCATTTCTAAGTATTTGTCCATTACCTCTGGGTTTTCATATTTGTTTGAATATGGTTTCTCATAATAATCCAATGTTAGCCTTTTTATTTTACTTGGTTCTATTGTGACATTGTCCATTTCATCCTTTCCTCAGATTATTTGTGTCTTTTCCTCTGTTAGTTTTTCTGGTGGTGTGTCTATTTTATTAACCTTTTCGAAGGACCAACTTCTGGTTTTGTTGATGGTTTCAACTGTTTTTCTCTTTTCTATTTCATTTATTTCTGCTCTAATTTATTTATTTATTTTAATAAACATTTACAGATATTTTGGATTTCCATTCATTCATTGCCACACTTTTCTCCCTGCCCAACCCTCCCCACCAGTTCACTCCCCTCTCCAAAAAGAAAAAGAAAAAAAAATTCTTCATTGGTATACAATTTCCCCATCCCTTCCCTCCCCCACCCCCTGCCCCGAGTACACTTCTCTATGTACTAACTTTTATCGTTTCAATTCTTTTAGAGGGTGTCAGATTTTCTTGCTTTCCTTTTTCAAATTGTTGGTGATGTTGGTTTAGAAAGTCAATGGTTATTTTTTCCTGCCTTTTGATATGTTTGCTTATTGCTATAAATTGACCTCTGGTTACTCCTTTGGCTGTTTCCCAAAGGCTTTTTGTACTTGTTTCATGAAACTTTTTAATTTGATTCTTATTTCTTCTAGTACTCAGTCATGTTCATGCAAGGTGTCTTTCGGCTTCCAAATGTATGGGGAGTTTTTTCTCCTTTGCCCTCTTGTTATTAATTTCTATTTTTGTAGTATTGGGGTCTGATAACATGCTTTGTATTATTTTTATGTTTTTTAATTTATTGATGCTTGCCTTGAGATCTAAAATGTTATTGATTCTGGAGAATGTTTCACGCACAATGGAGAAGAAGGTATAGTGTGGGGTTTTTTTTGTGCTTTACCTTATAAATATCTATGAGGTCAAGTTGGTTTATTTCTTGAGTGTGGTTTTTTTCAAGTGTGGTTTTTTCCTTGAGTGTGGTTATTTCAAGTGTGGTTTAATTCTTGAGCATCTTTGTTGAGTTTTTTCTGGTAGTTCTATCTTTTCCTGCTAGGGGTGTATTGAAGTCTCTAACTATTACTGTAGTGTTGTCTATTTCCTTTTTCAGTTTTGTTATTGTTTGTTTTCTATATTTTGCAGGTCTTTCATTTGATGCATAGATATTTATTATGTTATTTAATCTTGTTCTGTTTACCCTTTAAGCATTATGTTGTGACTTTCCTTTTCTATTGTGGTAGTTTTAGAATTGACATTTATTTTATCAGAGATTAATATCGCTACTCCTGCTTTTTTTCTGGTTGTCATTTGCTTGGTATATTCTTTCGCACCCTTTTATTCTTAATCTTTATTTATCTTCATTTTTCAGGTGTGTCTCCTGTTGACAACATATTGATGGATTTGGTTTTTTGTGGTTTTTTTCCCCGTTCTGATACTCTTATTCTCTTCAGTGGTGCGTTCAAAGCATTCACATTCAGTGTGATTATTGGGGGGGGGGGTTGCTATCATTTTGTTGAGTTATTTTTTATGTTGTTGTTGTCAGTTACTTTGGTCCATCCTGCTTTCTGTGGCATCTCTGTAAGAAGGACATCTCTCATTGTTTCCTACAACACTGGCCTCATTTTTACAAACTCCCTCAGGTTCTGTTTTTCTGGGAATATCTTGATCTCTCCTTCAAATTTGATGGACTATTTTACTAGGTACAGTATTCTTGTTCGACAGTTGTATTCTTTGAGTGTTCAATATGTGTAATTCCACTTTCTTCTTGCTCTCATGGTTTCTGCTGAGAAATCAGAACTTAGTCTTATCTGCTCTCCCTTAAAGGTTTCTCTTTGTTTCTACCTGGCTGCTTTGAGAATTCTCTCCTTATCTTTGGTTCTGGCGAATTTGACTATCATATGCCTTGGTGTTTTTCTTTTGGGGTCTATTCTATATGGTGTTCAAACAGATTCTTGAATATATATTCTCTCATTCTTTGTTATGCCTGAGAAGTTTTCCTCTAGTAATTCTTCCACAACTTTTTTGGTGCCTTTACTTGCTTCCTCCTGCTCTGGGATTCCAATGATGTGCATATTATTTCTTTTGATGGTGTCCCATATATATTCTTAGGCGTTCTTCTTTTTTCTTCCTTTTTGATCCTTTTTTCTTTTTCTTTTGCAGATCAGTGGTGACAATCTATCTTCTATTTCACTGGTTCTGTGTTCCATCTCTTCAGTTCTGCTCATGTGTTCCTCCATCATGTTGACAGCATCTGAAACATTGGACCTCATATTTTGGATAATGATTTCTTGTTTTTCCAGGGCCACTACTGTCTCATGTGCTTTAGCTGCATTTTCCTGGATTGTTTTCTTAAGCTCTTCCTGGTTTTTGCTTGTAGTGTCCTGTAATTATTCAAGTTTGTCTTTCACCCATTGAAAATATTCAATCATTGTTCTTTTAAATTCCATGTCAGCAAGTTCTGTCAGACTTTCTGGCTTCAGGAACTCCATTTATCCTGTGTCATCTTTTGGGGATGACATCTTGCTTTGTGCTTGCTATGTGACATTGCTGTAGTAGAGGTTTTCTTGCCTGAGGGAAAGCTAGGTTCTCGATCTGAAGATACTGCTCTAGAAATTGGTGGGGTAGCTACTCTGCCTGTGTTTCTTTCTGAACTTCTGACTCAAGGGAAAGTTCAGTTCAGGGCCTGTGAGAGTAGCCTCTCATAGCTAAGTCATATCAAGGTGCTCCACATTAAAATCACATTGAATGATTGGATGTGTATGGACTGGAGTGGAGGTGAATGGGGAGCAGGTCAACTACATGAGGGGATCTTACTCAGATTTCAGCTGTCCGGATGTGCTCACATGTGGGGGTCCCTACTCAAATTCCAGCTGTCTGTCTCCCACCCAGCAGCTCTCGCTCAGTAGCCCTTGCCCAGTGGTACTCACCCAGGGGCCCTCGCCTAGCAGCCCTGCACATCAGCGGGGCCCTGGGTCCAATAGGTCTTAAGAAAACTCAGTCAAATTCCCATTGAACTACTTCTTCCTGGCGGGTCCATGTGCCTTCAGAAAACTCAGTCAATTTCCCGCTAACCTGCTTGCTCCTGGCAAGAGGGTCCAACTGCGGCTCAGCTGGTGGCTTCTGCCAGGCCCCGTAGCTTGCTGCTCTTACGACTCTCAAACTAATTATTTTAATAAATGTTCTGACTCAATTTCCTACTCTCTGCGTTGTGCCACGTCAGTCTCTGCACTCCATGTTTGTCTCTCTGGTGGTCCTTTTCTATGCAGGTTGCTGGTCCTTCAGCTATTTATGTTGTTTCATCCACCACTGCCATCTTGATTTCCTCAAATGTCTTCTTTGGTGGAGTATCTTTCCACATTTTGTAGCTGGTTTATTTGTCCTTTTCTTGCTAATGTGGAACAGTTTTCTGAATTTTTTTTTTAGCACAACATAGATTTTAATGAACGATGAATATCATTTCCAGGGCCAAGCAGAAGAGACATGGAGGATCCGGTGGCGGCCTCAGCACAGCCTCCGCACCTCTCGTTCTGACTCCAGCAGGGTCAGTACGTCGCCCTCGCACACGGGCCCTTTCATGTTGCGGATGATGGAGTGGCTCGTGTCGTGCATGAACTCCACACGCACCTGCGTGCACTGCCCTTGCGAACCGGTCCTGCCCAACACCTTGGTGACTCTGGCCAGCTTGATAGGCTGCACGCGGTTGGTATCCATGATGGCTGTTCGGCGGCGGGCAGGTGGAAGAGTTGAAATTTTTTTATAGTAGCCCTTTGTCTGATATGTTTTTGTCAAATATTTTTCCCACTATGTAGGTTTTCATTTTATTATTTTAAGACGTATTTTATATATACATAAGAATTTAATTTTTAGGAAGTTCCATTCCTTAATTTATCCTCTCTTGAGTATGTGTTTTATATTTGACGGTACCTTTAGACAATTGATTAGGGCTCTGAAGTTTGCTTCTATTTTTTCCCCCCTGATGATCTAAACAGTCTTAAGGTTTACTCTTAGATCCTTGGTCAATATTGAGTTAGTTTTTGTAAATTATGTGAGTATGAAGCTTGTTTCAATCTTCTGTAAAAATATTTCAAGTTTTGACAGTACTATTTGCTAAAGGAACCACTGGTGGCTCCCATCAGCTGATCTACAGGGTAATATCCTCCTATGAGATTTACAGCCTCTGAGAAGCTGCTGGAGGGTGTGCTATGAATGAATTCTGACTTGACAGCACATAACAACAACAGCATTTGCTAAAGAGTGTCTTTCTCCCCATTTAATAAATTTCATCCCCATGTCAAAGGTCAGCTGTCCATTGTTGTTGTTGTTGTTGTTGTTGTTGTTATGTGCCATCAAGTCATCAGCGACTCATGGTGATTCTGTGTACAATAGCCGTAAACCCATCTCTATCCCTTGCTAATCTTATTGTCTCGACACTCAATCCATCTCATCGAGGATCTTCCTCTCCTACCCTGTCCCTCCAGCCTCCCAAGCATGCCATCCCTCTCCAAGGACTAATCTAGCTTTGCAACATGTCCAAATTATGTCAGACAAAGCTTCAGAATCCTTGCCTTCAAGGAGCAGCCTGAATTAACCCTCTCCAGGAGAAACTTGTTTGTTCTCCTAACAGTCCATGGTATATTTAATACTCTTCTCTAGCACCACAGCCCAAAGGCATCCATTCTCCCTCTGTCATCCCTAGCCATTGTCCAGCTCTCTGATGCATGGTAAGTAATTGCAAAGACCATGGTCTGTATCAGGTGCACCTTAGTGTCCAGTCTGACATTGTTGCTCTTCAATACTTTGAAGAGGTCTCTGACAGAACACTTTCCCAATGCAATTGTTCTTTTAATTACCTGGCTGCTGGTACCAAGGGTATTGAATTGTAGAGCCAACAAAATGAACCTGTCAACCATCTCAATCTCTTCGCCGTCTATCATGTTGCTGCCAATGGGCACAGTGGTGAGAATCTTTGTTTTCTTGATGTTGAGCTTCAATCCATAGCGAAGGCTGCAGTCCTTGACCTTCTGTAGCAAGTGTTTCATGTCCTCCTCAGTTTCAGTAAGCAGGGTTGTGTCATCTGCATAACACAGATTGTTGATGAGTCTACCTCCAATCCTGATGCCACACTTCTCCTCATAGAACTCAGCCTCCCAGATAATCTGTTCTGCATATAGATTGGAAAGATATGGAGATAGGACACATCCTTTACGAGCATCCTTCTCAATTTTGAAACATGCAGTGTTTCCTTGCTCTGTCCTGACGACTGCCTCCTGATCCAAGTATACATTTCGCGTAAGCACAATCAAGTGTTCCAAGATTCCCATCATCAGAATTAGCCACAGTTTGTTGTGATCCACACAGTCAAATGCCTTTGCATAGTCAATGAAACACAGATAGACATTCCTCTGGTATTCTCTGCTTTCAACCAAGATCAACATGACATTAGCTATAATATCCCTAGTGCCATAGCCTCTTCTAAATTCAGCCTGCATTTCAGTCGTTTTTGGATAATCTTCAGCAGAATCTTGCTTGTATGTGATGTCATTGATACTGTTTAATAATTTCCACACTCTGTTGTATCACCTTTCTTTGAAATGGGAACAAATATAGATCTATCCCAGTCAGTAGGCCAGGTGGTTGTCCTCCAGATTTCTTGACACAACTTGGTGAGCACATCCAGAGTAGTATCTGTTTGTTGAAATATGTCAATCAGTATGCCATCAATTCCTGAAGCCTTATTTTTTACCAATTCTTTCAGAGCAGCTTGAATTACTTTCTTTATCACCACAGGCTCTTGCTCATACATTGTTTCATGAAATTCTTCTGTGTCCACCAATTCCTTCTGGCCCAATTCTGGTACAATGACTCTGTATACTTTTTCCATCTTCCTTTAATGCTTCATGGATAATTTAATATTCTGCCCAAAGCATCCTTAAGTATTGCAACTCAAGTATTGAATTTGTTCTTCAGTTCCTTGAGCTTAAGAAATACTGAGCAAGTTCGGCCCTTTTCATTTTCTGACTCTAGCTCTTTGCACATTTCAATGTAATACTTTATTTTGTCTTCCCGCGCTGCCCTCTGGAATCTTCTATTCAACTCCTTAGTATCTTGATTTGACCTTTGCGTTGGCATCTCAGCACTCCAGTGCAATTTTTAGAGTTTCTTCTGACATCCATCTTGGTCTTTTTTTCCTCCTCTGTATTTGTAATGACCTTTTGCATTCTTCCTTGCTGATATTATTGATGTCCTCCCACAGCTCATCTGATCTTCGTTCGTTAATGTCCAAGGCCACAAACCTGTTCTTGTGATGGTTTTGAAATTCATTTGGGATAGACTCAAGGTCACATTTTGGTTCTTGTGGACTTCATTTAATTTTCCTCAGCTTCAGCTTGAACTTGCATATGAGTAGTTGGTGGTCTGTTCCACAATCAGCACATGGCCTAGTTTTCCCAGTGGATATTGAGCTTCTCCAATGATTCTTTCCACAGATGTAATCGATCTGATTCCTATGCATACCATTAGGTGAAATACAAGTGTATAGCCTGTGTTTATGTTTCTTATAAAATGTATTTACAGTTAATAAATCGTTGATTGTGCAAAATTCTACCATTCTATCTCCAGCTTCATTTCTGTCACCAAATCCATGTTTTCAACTATTGATCCTTCTTCTCTATTCCTAACTTTTGCATTCCAGTCACTTATTACTATTAATGCATCTTGACAGTATGTTCGATCAATCTCTGACCACAAAAGTTGACAGAAATCTTCTATATCCTTCTCTTTGGTTCTGGTTGTTGGTGCATATATTTGAATGATGGTGGTAATCACTGGACTTCCTTGTAAGTGTATGGTTATTAACCTGTTGCTCACAATATTGTATTTCAGCATATATCTAGAAATGATTTTTTTTAACTATAAAAGCAACCCCAGTTGTTTTTTTTTTTTACCTTCTCATGTCCAGAGTAATAGATCATATGGTCATCTGACTCAAAATGTCCCATGCCAGTCCATCTCATCTCAGCAATACCTAGTATGTTGATATTTTTGCATTCCATTTCTTCCCTAACAATATCTAATTTTCCTACATTCATTGTTCTCACATTCCATGTTCCAATCACTAGTGTCTGCTTACAACTGTTCCTCTTCCTTTGTATTTCCATACTTGAAAACTCTGCCTCAGTTGCTCTGTTAGTCTATGTGTGTTATTTTGTACATAGGGTTTTCAAAAGTTTGCTGTTTCTGAAGTGTATCCCAATCCTTTTTACTAGTCAGTGTTAATTTGATTGCTCATATTTAGAACCTTATCTGACAGACAAGCAATTTAGAGAGAAGAGCGAATGAAAGATATTTCCCAATAGTAGGAAAAAACCAATAGATTCTGTTGTCCCCACCCTTGCCAGGTGTGTTTTGAGCCACCCCTTTCCCTGTTCCATCAGCATTTACACTTACTCCCACCTACTCCATTCAACATAAATTTCTCCTATCCAGCCCTTGATGTGGGCTTCTGTGAATCCTAAGGCCTCAAGCTACTGACATTTTCTTCCTCTATAGGCAGTATCTCTTGACTTCGGGAGTTTTGAACTTTTGCTCCAGGATTGACTTCTTGTGCCTTAGGGTGTCTTTTCCTCTATTTATGCTACAAGAGTTTCCCAGGGGAAGTTAATGAATCCTATAGATTTGGTATATAATGTTGTCTTCCTGGCCCTGGTGCCAAATGCCCGCAGGCCCCAAAATTTGAAGGTGAGCTTGACCCAGGGGCTTCTGGCAGACATAGTTATTCATACCTGTGTGGTATGAAGTCGGCTGAGACACCTTCTGCAACACTCTCCATTGGTGTATGGATTTATTTATGGGTTCTCAATTCTGTTCCATTGGTCTGTGTATCTGTTATAGTACCAGTACTATGCTGTTTCGATTACTGTAGATTTTGAGAACAGGAAGTATAAGGTTTTCTGCATTTTCCTTCTTGAACAGTGTACTGAATGCTGGGAAATATGGAGGGTCAGAGAAAGAAAAGAAGACATCCAAGAAGATATATTGACTTAACAAGAAAAACATTAAAAACCCAATAACAAAATGGGCAAAAGACATGGAAAGAATTTTCACAGAGGAAGATATTCAAATGGCAAACAGACACATAAAGAAATGTTCCAAATCACTGGCAATAAGAGAGAGGAAATCAAAACCACAATGAGGTACCATCTCACTCCAGTAAGAGTGGCAAAGTTTAACAGGGCAGTAAGTAATAGCTGTTGTAACGATATGGTGATAAAGGAATTCTTATGTCTTGTTGGTGGAATTGTAAAACAGTGCAACCATCCTGGAAGACAATTTGGTGCCTCCTCAAAAAGCTGAACATAGAAATTCCATATGACCCAGCTATTCCATTACTTGGAATATACCCTGAGAATATGAAAACTGAGGCACAAACTGAGATTTGTAAACCAGTGATCATAACAGCATTATTCACCATCTCAAGAACATGGAAACAACCCAAGTTTCTCACCACAAACGAATGGATTGAGAAACTGTGGTACATTCACACAATGGAATACTATGCAACACACAGGATAATAACTTTGTAAATTATTACTTAACTTGGGAGGGACTGAAGCGCATTATGCTGAGTAAACTCAGTCTCATAAGGGTAAATATTGTATAAAACCATGTTTGTAGTGGAGCTCTGGTGGCCTAGTGGCAAGAAGCTGCACTGCAATCCCAGAGATATGTGGTTCGAATCCACCAGATGCTCTGCCGGAGAAGGAGGGGCCATCTCCTCCTGTACCAGTCAGATCCAATTTGACGGGACACACACACAGAAAATAATAAAATATAAATTAAAAAAATTAAAAAGCCAAAAACCAAAAAACCATTATTGTAGAATGAGTATAAGGATCCAGGATGGGTGGGAAAGGCTGGAAGCAGAGAGATGCGGATGTGCAGGAGGAAGGGGGGATTAATCATTGCATTGTACAATTTGATGTGTGGAGGAGTGAGGGAAATGGAACGAATTTGTTCAAATTTGTATTAGAATTTTGTAAATAAACTACTAGCGGAAAATGTATATGAATAAAACATACTGTAAAGGTATTACTATAAGAAAATCAATAAAAAATATATTTTTTTAAAAAAAGAAGATAGATTGACTTTAACAGTGACGACAACAATGAGTTTGAGTATGTCAGGGATGGCACTGGTTCAGATATGCTGCTTATAGGGTCGCTGTGAATGGCAGTTGACTCAATGGTTCTGAACAACAATAATACATTTTGGTACGTTGTTTTTTCATTCTCATCTGTTGTGAGAAGTTTTTTTAATTTAATATTTTTGTTTCTTCTTTTACATAGCAGGGTATCAATACAAATTTACCCCTTAATTTTCCTGTTGTTGGCTTCTATTTTTGTAGTATTTCAGTGTCTTTGCATTTCTCAAGGTTTGCTTTGTGAATTAACCTATGGTTTGTTCTGGATATTATTTGACATGTGCTTAAGAAGAATGTATAGTGTGCCTTTTAAGAGTGGACAGTTTTATATATGTCATGAATGCCAACTGAGGTGTTTTAATTGATGGAACACCAGTTGAAGAGTTTCAACAAAAAGGTGCAAGCCTGAACATGCTCAACTAGTCAAAGCCAAAAATTTGGGGGCCTTGGAAAACAAACTGGAAGGAATCCATATTTTTTGTCATTTCCAGAAAAGGTTATTCAGTAAAGAACTTATTGAACAGTATCATTAATATCATATAGAAGTCAAATCTTGCTAAAGATTTTTTTTAATTTTTTTAAATTTTATTATTTTTGTGTGAGTGTACCG